ATAGTTAAATACAAAAAAAATTATCACACACAACTATACGATTCCACTAAAATATGTGATTTATCGACATTAATCGAAATGGTGTTTACGAAAATTCAGGTGTTTACAAAGAACATTGCCCCAATTTACGATAAATCTACAAAAATATATTTTTTTATTTTGAAATTCATTAATGAAATCTAACTGATACCAAAATTTGATATTGCCAAAGGAATATTTCCAAACAATGTGCAATTTATCGAAAAGTGTTGCCACATGTTTTTTTAATATTTAAATTGATATTTCACTCTACCCTTATTTTAAAAAAATGCAATCAACACCAACTTCAAGCAATAACTCTAGCAACTACGAATGTTTCCTTAAATCAATGTTTTGTTATTCGGTCTGTTTCAGAACTGCATGAATGTAAAAGTTTTAACTACGATAACCGATTTTCTGTTTATGAAATCAAAAAAAAAAAAATGCAAAAATAGTAAATTCTTGCAGGATCTGGAACAGACCATATATTTGTTATTTTTTTTGTTAATTAACTATTTTTTTTCCAATATTTGTTTATGTACAACAAACAACAACACCAATAATAACAACAATATACAATACAGAATATATATATCTAAATATAAATATATTTGCTATAAGAAATTTAAAATGAGTATCAAAAATCAGCAGAAGTAAGAATCAAATCAAACGAACAAACGAAAGCAACCAAAACAATTCCAATTTCATACATAATTATATACAACTAATAATAATAATTAATAAATAAAAAAATATTTATTTAAAAAATAACTAAAAAAAATATTGTAATATTATTTTATTGTGTTCATTGAATAAAGTAAAATTTACATATTGGAGTTGTGTTTTGAATATTTACCTTATTTCGGCTCTTGTTTCAAATAAAAGAGCAAGATACTGCTTTACAGCGACATCTGAGTTACGCAATTTACGAAAATACGTCATTTATTTGATATATAATTACAGAATTGACAATAATAATTACGCATCTTACAAAAACAGGTTCGGTGTAAATATGGCTTAGTAAAAATAGGTAAAAAAAAGAAAATATAAGTAAAAAAGCAGTAAGTTCGGCCGGGCCGGACTTTGAACACCCACCACCATTTGGAACGAATTTTCCAGAAAATAAAATCCGTTAAAAATTCTGTTAAATTCTTAGAAATACCAAATGTAGCCATTATATTGAGGTCTATACGAAGACGTGGACCTGCATAGGCAAATTTTGCCTTAAGCCATTAAAATATTCAAATACGAAACTTGAAAAAATACGGTGGTTAATGTAGCTAAAATCATCAAAATACCGAATATAGGGAGGTACCGTTATATCGGAGCTATACAAAGACCTGGACCTGCATAGACAATTTTCTGTCACAGGCTGCAGTACCTATTAGGAACTTCAAATACGAAATTTCAAACGATTTTGGTGAATATTGTACCTAAAATCGTCAAAATACCGAATATAGGGAGGTACTCATATGGGTCTATACGACAATTTTCTGTCACAGACTGTAGTTCTCATTACGAACTCTAAATACAAAATTTGAAACAACTTCACTGAATAATGCCACTGAAATCGTAAAAATATTGAATATCGTGGAGTACCGTTGTATGTGGGCTATACCTTATCGTGGACCTATATAGACATTTCACTTCCAGTGGGTAAAGTACTCAGATGGAACATCTTTTGTGGATTTTCAGAAAATTTCATTGAAAAATTTGACTACAATCATCAAAATATCGAATATTGGGGGATATCGTGGACCTATATAGCGCATCTTCGAATTTGACCTACCTGCAGACAAAAGACTGATCTGAGCAAAATGTTAGCTTCCTATCTTTATTTGTTTAGACTCTAGAGTGATTACAGCAGATGGACAGACGGACGGACGGACAAGGCTAAATCGTTGTTGTCATGTCTAAATTATTATTTCGATTTGTTATGTCTAAATTATTATTTCGGAATGACGAACTCAATATACCTTCCATACTATGTATGGTAGAAGAATACAGGTAAATGCATTAACGCTTAGGAACACAGATATGTCAAAAAATTTTAAATGTTATTTCAAATATAAGAAGATTTTTATATGTTTTTTTTTACAACGTCATTCGGAAGTTATTATAATTCGCGTTTTTTTTTAAATTTTACAAATTTAAATAATTTTTCATTCAACATTTTCAGTTCCAAAATTGGTTTCACAGTTCATTGTCCCAGCAGCTGTGTCGATGAGTCTACCTATATTCTTCTATGTATGGCGGGGGGTATAAAAAGATTATGTCAACAGATGACGCTATTACATATCCGTGACACTAACCATGGCTTCTAGCAGTTACCCAATCTGGCATCACTATTAAAATTAAAACAAAATTATACAGTCAAAAAAGAATATTTTAACAAAAATGATACATCCTGACCAATTGTTTTTCTTTTTTGAAGAATTATAACTTTTTGAGATCTTTTGTTACATTACACCCCTTATTTCATTCCATGGGATTCCATGTTGGCATGTTTTTAGATTTTCTTTAATCTTTTACAATACCATTTCTTGTAGTTGCGTTCACATCACCCAGTTATTTGTGAAAACAGGGTAATTCATAGAAAGACTATTGAAAGTTTGTTTAATATCACAGAGCGCCATCTACCAATACATAGTAGACACTTACTTGTATAAATACATGTATGCCGGCTTGTATTATTTAGGAAAACCATAAGGATTTTGTAAACATAATGTTTTATGTTTTATAAAAGGGATTATTTCAATTGTTGTGCTCCATGAGAACACCTATTGGACTTCTTTCAAAAGATATATAGGTTTTCAATTGCAAAAAATTATGAAATTACTTCTTTCTTTTGAAGCCCTATATGAATTTGATGTTCTAAAAGAACAAACGATCTTTTCTATGAAAAACAAACGGATATTTTGTCATTCAAAGAAAACTTGTTGGTGCCTCATAGGAAGCCCTACTGATATTCTTTTAAAAGAAGTCTTCGATAAGAAACCCTATGGGCCTAATTTAAGAGTAGCTATTGGCCATATTTTAAATAAATTTTAATAAAATTTTTAAATAAAATGATGAAGACCTATTGATAGCCCATAATATCACTTTTTATTCTCCCAAAGAAGACCTGTTTGACTCCCATAAAAAGTCTACTTTTTCAAGACACTATCTTCAATGAAACAGCTATAAGATACCCATTGGACATCAATTGTTTATCTAAAGGTGAGAATATATAAAGCGCTTTTTGACTGGCTGAAGTCATCGTCTAGCTTCTTCGTAGAGGAACCATGGTAGAAGAATATGATTTGTCAAATATATTTAAAAATATCCGCGTAGATAAATGGATTTTTGAAAAAAAAATCCGTTCGGGAGATTGAATGATATGCGATTTTCAACAAATTTCACAAATTTGAATAATATTTCATTCAAAATTTTGAATTACAAAAATTTGTTGACAGTTCATTGTACCGGCAGCTGTGTGGATCAACCTATCTGCATAAATTTATCATGAGAGGAATAAAGAAATTTTAGGTTAACTTAGTTCGATTTTGGCTCCTACGCTCCTCTGTTATTTTCTAGAAAAACCAGCCGATGACTTTAAGGTGAGAATACATAAAACGCTATATTGGCAGGCTTAAGTCATTGGTTGCCTTCTTCGTAGAGGAACAAAGGAGTTTTAGATTTACTTACTCCGATATTGACACATATCTCCTGTGTTATCCTGTGCCGATGACTTAAGCCTGCCAAAATAAAAAAAAAACGTTTTTGTATTCTCACCTTAACAAAAAAGAATTTTATGTACTCTCAGTGAGAGTCTCTCACATTACTTCTAAGGTATATGGCTCTCCTATAATAGGGATATTTAAGTCGACTTTTGTCACACCTCGAAATATACATTCTTGACCACACAAAGTATATATTTTCTTGATCGGCATAAAATTCTATGTCGATTTAGCCATGTCCGCCCGTCTGTGGAAATCACTTTAGCTTCCGAACGAAATGTAGTAGGTTGATAAAATTTTACTCAAATGTGTATTATGTCTGCCGGACTTTTGGTATTGAAAATGACCCATGTAGGTCCACATCTTCGTATAGCCTCCATATAACGGTACCTCCCGATATGCGGTATTTTAATGATTTTAGCGACATTATTTACCGGAATTGTTTCAAAATTGGTATTTGAGGTTCGTAATGGATATTACAGTCTATGACAGAAAATTGTCTGTGCAGATCCACGTCTTCGTATAGCCCTCATATAACAGTACCTCCCAATATTCGGTATTTTGATGATTTTAGCGACATTATTCACCAGAATTGTTTCAAATTTGGTATTTGAAGTTCGTAATGGATACTGAAACCTGTGACAGAAAATTTTCTGCGCAGGTCCACTATACGAAGGTTAACCTCAATGTAACGATACCTCCCTATATTCGGTATTATGATGATTTTAGCGACATTATTCACTGATTTTTTTTGCATTTTAATATTGTAATGCCTTATGACAAAAGCTGCCTATGCAGGTCCATGTCGTCGTTTAGACCCTAATATAACGGCTACATTCGGTAGTTTTAAAAATTTAACAGAATTTTTAACGGATTTATTAATTTTTTTTTTTATTTTATTTTATTTTTTTTTTGAAAATTTCAAATTTGGTTCCAAATAGTGGAGGGTATTCAAAGTTCGGCCCGGCTGCATTTACTGCTTTTTTACTTGTTCTTATTCTATTTGAAGACATGTTTTTTTTTTCTATACGGCACCGATTACATCCTCTAATAGTCTTTATAAAGGGCTAAGTGCATAAGAAGCTTGAAGTCATGGCTAGGCATATTTTGTGACATTTCACAAAGGGATTACAGAGTCGCACTAAAATCCAGCCGTCGTTTTCCATTATAATTTGACATTAATATGCCTAGCCATGACTTCAAACTTTTTATGTACTTAGCCCTTAAGAAAGTCTCAAGGCCATTAAAACAACAAATCTTCAATAATTTGTATTTTTCATATATTTTTCTCTTTGTTTTTGATCCGGGTAATAGTATCACAGTAACCTATTCTAAACAGCATATAGTCAACTATATGGAATGTGGATATTTTTTTGAACAATATTTCACATGAGTATGTGTGTGACTTAATGGATAAACTTAATTAATGTTTTAGGAATTTAAAATTCATAAAGTTTTCGGGCAATTTTTATTTTTACTCAAAACCAAACGATCTGGTTCTAGGCCCAATTTTTTCAAGGCATCATAGATTTTTGCTCTTGTTTCGACGGGGAAATCACGTGATCTTCCAAAGACCCATATTTGATCGGAATAACCCAAAGAGCCAAGGCTACCACAAGACCATAAAATGGCAAAGTTTTCGTAATCTGTGTAGAGGACTTGATATTTGCCGGAGCCGGGTAGCAGGCGGGCAATGACTTCGGGGAAGCGAGTATTGAACTGGGGAGGGGGGAAAGAAAACATTAGTTTTGCTTTTAATATTTAAGGATTAAACGCTTACCTTAAAATCCATAATGGAGGATTTTCGATTTTCTGGTGTGGCATAACCCAAATTCACAGAGGGGTTACCAGTTCTGCAATAAAAGATAAATGTGTGTTTTTTTATTAATAATTTAAGCACTTGTCTTAGAGTGCCCTCACTCACATTCTGTTAATGGTCTTAATGGCAACTTCCAATTTGAAATTATTAAACTTAGAGAGCTCTTCTTTGTGCAGAGGCTGAAATTCCAAAGTGGTACAGCCTGAGGCAATTTCTGGCAAATAAAATGATCTCTCAACTTCGTACCATTGACCCAGAACCTGAAAATAGAAAAAAGAGACCATAATAAATTAATAAAAAATGCTTCGCTTAGACTTCAGTTGTGGGTAGGCCCCCCGTTTTTATTATCTTTTTCACACCCTCTAAGGTCATTTACATTTGACTAGTTTTAATTGAAGTCATATAAATACCGAACTACAACAATTTTATTTGTTTTGTCTCCGCATTCATGGAATATCTTCGATCGTCATTAACGTCTTGCTTGATCATGATGATGCGAAGCACATGCCAACGACAAGTAGCCCTCACCAACATTTCAAACTGGTTGGGGAATGGTCGGGGTCTGATGATTCTGCATAAAAATGCCTTTCAAAGTCACTAACAGCTACACGATTAAAGGGAAAACCACAAAATGCTGCTGCACAATGGGCTAGGGTTTATTAAAATGTTTTTATATTCTCCACCATAGTATGGAGGGTATATTAAGTTTGTCATTCCGTTTGTAACACCTCGAAATATACATTTTAAACCCCACAAAGTATATATATTCTTGATCAGCATAAATTCTTTTTCGATTTAGCGATTTCCGTCCATTTGTAGAAATCACTCTTGCTTCCGAACGAAATGAAGGAGGTTGATAAAAATTTACTGAAATGTATATTATGTCTGCAGGACTTTTGGTATTGAAAATGAGCTATGTAGGTCCAGGTTTTGGTATAACCCCCATATATGAGCTGTGTAGGTCCAGGTTTTGGTATAATCCTCATATAATGGTACCTCCCTATTTTCGGTATTTTGGTGATTTAAGCGACATTATTCACCGGAAATGTTTCAAATTTGGTATTTGAAGTTCGAAATGGATTCTACAGCCTATGACAGAAAATTGACCATGCCGGTCCATGTCCACTTATTATGGTACCTGCCATTATTCGGTATTTTGGTGATTTAAGTGACATTATTCACCGGAATTGTTTCAAATTTCGTATTTGGTGTTCCTAATAGGTATTACAGTCTATGACAGAAAATTGCCTATGGAGGTCCAGGTCTACGTATAGCCCCCTTATAAGGATATCTTCCGATTTTCGGTATTATGCTAATTTCAGCGTCATTATTCACTGGAATTGTATCATATTTCGTACTTAAAGTTCGAAATGAGTACTACAGCTTGTGACAGAAACTTGGCTATGGAGGTCCAGGACTTCGTATAGTCCCTATATAACGATATCTCCCGATATTCGGTATTTTGCTGATTTCAGCGTCATTATTCACCGGGATTGTATCAAATTTCGTAAAGAAAGTTCAAAACGGGTACTACAGCCTGTGAAAGAAAACTGACAATACAGGTCCAGGTATTCGTATATAACGATATCTCCCGATATTTGGTATTTTTCTGATTTTAGCGACATTATTCACCGGAATTGTTTCAAATATCGAATTTGCAGTTCACAACGGGTACTACAGCCTGTGACAGAAAATTGCCTATTTAGGTACAGGTCTTCGTACGATCTCCATGTAACGATATCTCTTTATAATTGGTATTTTGCCGATTTCGGTGACATTATTCACCGCAAATGTTTCAAATTCCGTATTAGAAGTTCCTAATGGGTAATACAGCCTATGACAACATATACATATATACCCCCCATATAAAATCATTATTTAAAAGGTATTTTTCGGATTTTTTTTTTTTTTGACTTTTTTAAATTCCTTGCAATTCGTGGATGGTATTAAAAGTTCTGCCCGGTCAAACTTAGCTGCTTTTTTACAAATTGAAATAATTTTTCATTCAAAATTTTCAATTCCAAAATTGGTTTGACAGTTCATTGCCCCAGCAGCTGTGTCGATGAGCTATCAGGGAGATCCTACGCATTCTGCAGTGTTGCATTTTCCCACTGCTATTTTATTTTTAATTGGCAACAGTGAAATGCTGGGATTTATAATTAAAAAGTACTGTTTATTAATTTTAGATGCCAATCGCTCAAAATATTTAAAATTGCAGGGGTTTGTAACAGATCATGGGTGCTAAATCAAATACTGGGCCTTCAATGATTTTATCTGTCGCCAATTGCAGCTGACTCAGTTTAAAAAATATGTCTTAAACACTCAAAATAACATCAATAGGTCCGAACCGTTATATGGGAGCTGTACTGCAACTTGGACACATATTTCAATATTAAAAAAAAAATAAATAAAAATTTCACTTAAAAGAAACAATCATAAGAAATTATAACCACAGAGCCACCGTGCAGAATATGGTCTTCAAAGTAAATAAAAAAGAGTGCAAGATATGCCCCCTCAATGTGATATTAAATTATTTTAAATCTAATTTAAAAAGGGGCAATTTGCATTTGTTTATTTTAAACTGGAAATAATAAACCAAATATTAGCCCACATTACAAAAACACAATTTCACTCTCATCAGCAGCATATCTCCTCGGACTGGCAAACAACGGTAACAAGTGTGAAAACAAACAAAAACAGAGAATCCAAAGAAAATATTTCATCACATTTGTGTGGAGGGAGCAAAAGAGAGTGGCAGTTCATCATGATTTTCTCTGCTCTGGAAAATTTAAATATAACTGACATTTCTCAACAACTAAAACCTATTTAAAATGTTAGTCACAATCGTGCGTGTGTGTGCCCATTTAAGTGAGAGCCGTAACAAAAACAACAAACTACGTTGCATGGATTTGTTTGTGTTGTTGTTGTTTTCATTATTAAATGGCATTTTGGAGAATTTATCCCCCTATTTATGGTAAATGGAGGAAAAATCAAATGAATTTAATTTGAAAATGTGAGATTTTGTTTTGTTTATTCAGTATATTATACAAACAACAACAACAACAATTGAGTGCAGCAACAAAATGCAAATCATGTGAAAGTTGAAATGATGCAGTGCATTTTAATTAAATTGGGTGATCCATTTAAATGTAGATTTGTATATATAACAACGATGTTCTTTGGCATCCCCTCTTCAAGATGTGAGAACACGTGTCTCGAGAAGACACTCACGTTTTTATTCATTTGGAATTGGACAAAAGAATGTCAATCAAATAGAGAATTTAAACAGTTTTTTTTCTAGTAAAAGTATGGCAAGGTTGAAGGTCCATTAAGCGGCAATAAAAATCATTTTATTTGGAATTTTTAGTTAATAAAAACAGACATATGTACTTATTTTAAATAAGAAAAAAAATAAACAATAAGTTTATGAATGTTTGTTTATGTTAATGACATTCTCCACAACCAGTTTGCATTGCCCTCGAAGGTAATTAAAATCAGTTAGTCGAACACAGGTACAGAGTATAAAGTACGACTGCACATACCCATAAGGTAGAGAATGTCGATTACTACTTAAAAATGGATAAATCATGTGAGAATATAAGGAATGATGCTAAAAACTGCGTATGGCACAAGTCAGTGAACAGACGGCATGGAAGTCTCTAGTTTTTTTGTGGCATGAAATGATAATATTCCAAGGTTTTATTGAATGCATCGAATTAAAAAAAAAATAATCAATTAAAAATAATTATCCTGCAACTTCTTTCTCAGAGAGTAATATCCTAGACAGACGGCATACTTTTTAATGACTTAATGCAAATTAATTCGGCATCATCCCTATTTTTAATGTAAGAAATGAAATCGAATTTACACGGCTTTAAAGAAATTTCATATGACAACGCTGCAAAATATTAATTGTTTACAACAAAAAGGAAAAATACGTTTTTCATTGTTTTTACCCAATAATTAAAATAAACAAGTAAAAAAGCAGAAAGTTCGGACCGAACTTTGAATACACTACACCATTTGAAACTAATTTGGAAATTTTCAAAAAATAAAATCCGTTAAAAATTCTGTAAAAATTTTAAAAATAACGAATATAGCCGTTATATTGGGATCAATATGACGACGTGGACCTGTATAGGCAACTTTTGTCATAAGCTATTACAACTATCAGACACGAAATTTGAAAAAAAATCCGGTGAATAATGTAACTAAAACCATCAAAATACGGATTAGGAGGAGTACTGATATATGGGGCCTATACGAAGACCTGGGCCTGCACAGACAATTTTCTGGCATAGACTGAAGTTCCCATTGCGAACTCTAAATACGAAATTTGAAACAACTCCCGTGAATAATGTCGCTAAAATCAAAATATCGAATATTGGTGAGGCTAACGAAGACATAGACCTACATAGACCATTTTTTGCCATTAGGAATTCTAAATACGTAATTCGATACAATTCTGGTGAATAACAACGCTAAAATCATCAAAATACCGAATATCGGGAGGTACCGTTATATAGGGGCTATACGAAGACCTGGACCTGTATAGGCAAGTTATTGCCACAGGCTGTAGTATCCACTACGAACATCAAATACCAAATTTGAAAGAATTCCGGTTAACAATGTCGCTAAAATCAACAAAGTACCGATTATCGGGAGGTACAGTTATATGGGGGCTATACGAAGACTTGAACTTGCACAGACAATTTTCTGTCATAGGCTGTAGTATCCATTACGAACTTTAAATACAAAATTCGAAACAATTCCGGTGAAAAACATCGCTAAAATCATCAAAATACCGAATATTCGGGGGTACCTTATATGGGACTATGCGAAAAAGTGGACCTGCACAAGTTTTCTGTCATAGGCTGTAGTATCCATTACGAACTTCAAATACCAATTTCGAAACCATTCCGGTGAATAACATCGCTAAAATCATCAAAGTACCGAATATCGGGAGGTACAGTTATATGGGGGCTATACGAAGACGTGGATCTGCACATACAATTTTCTGTCATAGGCCGTGGTATCCACTACGAATATCAAATACCAAATTTGAAAGAAATCCGGTGAATAATGTCGCTAGAATCAACAAATTGCGGAATATCGGGAGGTATAGTTATATGGGAGCTATACGAAGACGTGGACCTGCACAGAAAGTTTTCTGTCTTAGGCTATGGCATCCATTTCGAGCTTCATATACCAAATTTGAAACAATTCCGTTGAATAATGTCGCTAAAATCATCAAAATACCGAATATCGGGAGGTACCGTTGTATGGGGCTATACCAAAACGTGAACCTACATGACCCATTTTCAATACCAAAAGTCCTGCAAACATAATATACATTTGAGTAAAATTTTATCAATCTACTTCAATTCGTTCGGAAGCTAGAGTGATTTCCACAGACGTACATACGGACGGACATCGCTAAATCGACATTTTATGCTGAACAAGAATATATATATTTTATGGGGTCACACAATGTACATTTCGAGGTGTTACAAACGGAATGACAAACTTAATATACACTCCATACTATGGTGGAGGGTATAACAAATTATCTATGAAGATCCACCTCTTCATATTGCCCCCATATAATAAATTAATTTGTTTTTGGGAGGACCCTTTGAACTTACCTTCACCTTTTCAGATTTCTCTGCTCAGAAATCGAAAATTCACCTTCATTTCAACTTTATGTTTGAAACCCCAAGAATCTGAGTGGCGTCCTCTAAGGTACACCTCTTCATATTGCCTCCATATAACGGTTTTCATTTAAGCGTTATTTTTCGGAATTTTTTGACATTTTGCAAGTTCCTTCCAAATGGTCCAATTTCCCTTTAACTAAAACGACCCTCCATAATCCGCAATTGAATAATCCATTTCCATAATCTATGCACATAAATAATGCGAAAAAATTCACATAACTTACCCGGCTCATGTTGAATTTTGGCATCGATGGATACTTGGGACAGCGGCCCAAGCCTATGGCCATGGTCGGATCCATTAGCAGCAGAAATAGACATAAAATCAGAGCATTTTGAAGAAACTGCTTTGGCAAGGCGGTTGATGGCGTTGATGATGATGATCTTGTGGTTTTTGTTGCCATTGCTGTTGTTGCACACAAACGTTTAAACATGATTCTTAATTAGGTATTCACGCGATAGAAACCAAAACAAAGAAGCACAAATCGTCTTAACACACTTTTGTTTTGTTTGCTTTTTGTTTATATTTTGTTTTTATCTTTTTTGGCTAAATTAGTTTATTTGCAAATGCTATTGTTGTTGCAGCTAATGTTTAAGCCGGTTTTGTAAAAAAAATGAACGAAACAACAACAAATTATTGCCATAAATAAAAGAAGTATTTGTAGAGCAAAGACGACACACCACAAATCGTTTACTTTTTTTTCGAAATGACAATACCAATCACCAAAAAAAAACACAGGTTGTCTATCACTCAGTCTGTCTTAAAGTTTATTTGTCCGTAACATGGGCGTCAGTGGGTTGGGGTTTCAAAAAAAAAAAAAAAACATTAAAATTTACAATTCGAACACTTAGGTAAAAATGAAATAATAATAAATTGGCAAACTATGTACGTGTCCGCACCAAATTCGGAACGTTGGAAGTGGCCTAATAAAGTATTTCCTCATATTGCGTTCGATTATATAGGCTTGAGCTTGAGCTCTTACTTGTCATGCAGTACGCGCAGGGAAATGCAACAAAAATTTAAAAAAAAAATAAAAAACGATTGCGAAGAAAAGTATGAAAAATATGATTACACAGCAAATTTTTTTTGCAAGAAATTCGTGGAGAGAGAGCAAATGAGAGAGAGGGAGAGTAAGGAGATAACTGCAACCAATTCATTACACCCTCAGCCATATGGCTAGAGAGAGTATATATCATTTGATACGGCCAAAACGTGACTCAAGGAAATAACGATTTAAGACCCTAGGTCTCTTTGGACCAAATCTGTTTCAGAACATTTGAAATCAATCTAGCGATGTTCGTCCCTCCGTCTGTCTGGCTGCCTGGTGAGCACGATAACTCTCGAAGGGAATAGCCGATTTGATTCAAACTTGATACATCGTAATATTATTGTCAATCTTAAATCGAGTTCGGAGATGGGCAATATCGGTCTACTCCTTCTGGTACCTCCCACACAAAATGTCAACATTTTCAAAGAAAATAATTTTTTGCACAGAAAGAGAAATGATAATCCGATTTTGCTTCAACTTTGCGAATTCTAATATTTCCATAAATGCCAGGTCAGGTGCAAAAATGGACAATATCGGTCCACTCCATCAAGTAACTCCCCCACAAAGGCTCAAAATTTGGAATAATTATAACACTTATAAAATGTGATGTAGGTGTCCGAATGTCTTCAAATTACACACACCACAATTTTTTATTCGCCCAAGGTGAATATTGAATATATCGGTTCACTCCTTGTGGTACCTCCCCCACAAACGCTCAAAATTTTGAGTAGCCATGAAGCTCATAAAACACGCAATTAACATTCAATTCCATTCAGACTTGGTACCTCTCAATTTTTCTATCAACACAAGATCTATTATAAAGATGATACAGATCGGAACATTTCTTCTGGTACCTCCGACAGCCCGCCCGCCCGTCTTTTGTAATCACGCTAGAGTCAAAACGAATTAAGATAGGAAGCAAAAATTTTGTACAGATCAGTATTGTATTGTATCCAGGCAGATCATGTATGGAAGATGGGCTATATCGGTCCACGATATCGTATAGGCCCCATATAACAGTACCTCCCGATATTCGGTATTTTAATGATTTTAGAGGTATTATTCACGAGAATTGTTTCAAATATTTAAAGTTCGTAATTGGTAATACAGACTATGACAAAAAATTGTCAATGCAGGTCCACGACTTCATATAGCCCCCATATAACGATACCTCCCGATTTCCGTATTTAGCTGATTTTAGTTTCATTATTTTCCGGAATTGATTCAAATTTTGTATTTAAAGTTCGCGATGGATGTATTTAAAGTTCAGACTATGACAAAAAATTGTCAATGCAGATCCTCGTCTTCGTATAGCCCCCATATAACGATTCCTCCCGATATTCGGTATTTTAATGATTTTAGAGGTATTATTCACGGGAATTGTTTCAAATCTCGTATTTAAAGTTCGTAATAGGTAATAGAGACTATGACAAAAAATTGTGCATGCAGGTCCATGTCTTCGTATGGCCCCCACATAACAATACCTCCCGATATTCGGTATTTAGATGATTTTAGCGACATTATTCGTTATAGCCCCCATGTAATGAAACATCCCGATATTCGGTATTTCAACGATTTTAGCGACATTATTCTTGGGAATTGTATCAAATTTCAAATTTTAAGTTCGGAATCGGTACTACAACCAACGACAGAAGATTACTTATGCAGGACCACGTCTTCGTAGAGCCCCATATAACGTTTTTCCTTTGAGCGGTATTTTTCGATGGAAAATATTCAAGCATCTTTCAAATGGTGGATGGTATTAAAAGTTCGACCCGGGCCAATTTAGTTGATTTTAAACTGGATAATTTTCAATTAATGATCCAATTTCTCTGGCATGATCAATTTAAATATAAAAAGAAATTAAAAACAGTTTTTCTCCATATCTACTTCTACAAGTCCCATTCGATCTTCCACAATAATACTTTTCAGGTTCTACGAAATATGTTTTGTAACTGCTCTCACTTCTTCCAACACTTCCCCTGGGCCACTGTAAACTGTGAATTATCCAAATCATTATTTAATATTCCCCCAAAAATTTTACTTTATATTAATTCCGCACGCATAATACAAATGGCTGCAGTCATAATGTGGAGGAAAGCAAAACATAGGCTACACACAAAACCCGGAAGTACTCACATGTATATATATGTAGTTCCATTTCAACATTGTACATGAAAAAAAAAAACTTTGCTTTGTCTCAAAAAATGTATTCGCCAAAAATGGGAAGTTCAAGAAATGTCGAAAACGTACCTTAAATTTTAAAAAAGTGCTGTTGCAAAAATTGGCATTTTTCTTTTCAGGCAGACAAAACTTTTCACTGCATGTGTAAATGTTTTCAACAATAACAGGTGGTAATTGTTTTTGGTGAGCGTTGCTGTTGTTTGGTCTGTTTTTCTTTTCTTTTTTTTTTTTTTTTTTTTTTTTTTTGCATAAAAGCCAAGTTTTACTAGAAATTTTAGAAATACAATATGTATTTCTGTTTAACACCATGCGTGAGGAGTGGGGTTTGAATGCATTTTTAATAGAAAAACATATATATGTGAGACACAGTGGCTTGAAACGAACACTATTTTGAACTTTCCAGGAGTTTTCCAATATGCGTGCATACAAAAAAAAAGTATGTATTTGAAAATTATATTCCGGATTTTCACACAGAAAGTTCCGTCAAAGAAAAACTGAAAAAGTAAGTATGCCTTGTTGCCCTCAAAGTTGTAATAATTATTGAAATTGAATAGTGGATATACAGACAAAGAAATGTCGGATTTGTCTTCTTATCCAGATGGCACTCAGCACACTTTTGCATATCGCTTTTTTCGTCTACACATTATTACAGACTAGTTTTTATACCCTCCTCCATACATAGTATGGAGGGTATATTAAGTTCGTCATTCCGTTTGTACCTCATCGAAATAATAATTTTAGACCTAACAAAGTATATATATTGTTGACCACGTAAAATTCTAAGTTCATTTAGCCCTGTCCGTCTGTTTTAATCACGCTAGAGCCAAAACTAATTAAGATAGAAAGCTAAAATTTTGCACAGATCAGTCTTTTTGTCTGCAGGCAGGACAAGTTCGAAGATGGGCTATATCGGTCCATGATATCGTATGTCCCCCATATATTCGGTATTTTGATGAAAGTAGCCAAATTTTTCAATGAAATTGTCTAAAAACCCAAAAAGGAGTTCCTTCTGAGTACTATACCCCCTGGAAAAGTATTGTCTATATAGTTCCGCGTTATCGTATATCCCCCATATAACCTATATCCGGTATTTTTATGATTTTAGCTACATTTTCCAATGGAGCTGTCTAAAAAACCATACTAAAGGTTCTTTCTAAGCTCTTTACCCCCTGAAAGAGAAATATCAATATAGGCCCACGTCTTCGTATAGCCTCCATATAACTGTACCTCCCTATATTAGGAATTTTGATGATTTGAGCGTCATTATTCACCGGAGTTGTTTCAAATTTCGCATTTAGAGTTTGTAAAGAGAACTACAGTCTACGCCAGAAAATTGTCTATGCAGGTTCAGGTCTTCGTATAGGCCCCATATATCAGTACCTCCCTATATTCGGTATTTTGACGATTTTAGGTGCAGTCATGGTACAATATTCACCGAAATTTTTTGAAATTTCGTATTTGAATGTCCCAATAGGTACTACAGCTTGCGACAGATATTTGTCTATGTAGGTCCAGGTCTTCGGATAGCCCCGGTATAACGATACCTCCCTATATTCGGTGTTTTGATAATTTTAGCTACATTATTCACTGTTTTTTTTTCAAGTTTCGTATTTGAATATTGTAATGGCTTTTGACAACAGTTGCCTATGCAGGTCCACTTCTAAGTATATACCTCAATATAACGGCCATATTTGGTATTTTTATCCAGATTTTACCAGAATTTGTAACGGATTTTATTTTTTTGAAAATGTCCAAATTAGTTCCAAATGGTGGAGGGTATATGGTCATGATACTATCTCCCATAGCTCGCATCTGTTTGAAATTTTTTTTTTTAAATTTAGGATTGTCTTAAAGACAGATTGAGCAAAAGTGGCGCCCAATTGTATGGAGTGCACTTATACATCATACTTTTATTCGGGCTGCCGCATTTTGGTTCCTAGATATGTTTCTAGATCAGACATTCGTAGATTCAATTTAAAACCCTTATTTGCCAGCTGCTCAATGTTCGCTTTCTAGCTCAAATTTTGAGGATATTGCCGAGATTTTTAGCTTGAGAAGAAAGTTTCAATCCCACCCCATTCATCACTGGCAGCGGGAAATTTGGCCAAATTGTTCTTCCTGAGAGACGAAAAGTACTTTTTATGATTATCATCAAAAAGAAAGAAGAGGAAATAATGTCTTCTGAAGCCCTTCTATCTATATACGATATGTATCTATAGATATAATTACTGATAAAATACGAAATAGAAAATTCAATAGCAATTACCGTCTAATTATGCAGATTAATTTCAAAAGTGGCGCCCAATCGTATAAAGAGAATGCTGTTTCTGATGCTTATGCCATTTTTCGTATTCAAGATTCTCATTAAAAAGCTGGGCTTTCTAGAAGAGATAAGATACTGCCAAATTGTTCTTCATGGTAGCCGAGAAATTAAGTCATTTTCAAGGTTGTCCTCTATGAGCTACGCTTTCTATAAGAGGGGAGAAGGTCTTCCGAAACATTTCTGTATACAGACCATATGTTACCATAGATATAATTCCTGACAAAATACGAAAATGAAAATGGAACCTCAATTACTGTGCAATTATGCAAAATGATTTCAAAAGTGGCGCCCAATCGTATTAAGACGTATATGTATATATTAGAAGTACTCTTTCTGATACTTACGCCATTTTTCGTATTAAAGGTTCTCATTAAAAGGCTATGCTTTCTATAAGAGGTAGGATATGGCCAAATTGTTCTTCCTGGTTGCAGAAAAATAAAGTCATTTTCAAGGTTTTCATCTATGAGCTACGCTTTCCATAAGAGGGAAGAAGGTCTTCCGAAGCATTTTTATATACAGACGATATAATACCATAGATACGTAACAGGAAATGGAACCGCAGTTATCTTTCAACTATGCAGATTGTTTTCAAAAGTGGCGCCCAATCGAATGCAGACGTATTTGGGAGTGGTTTTTCTGATACTAACACCATTATTCCTATTCAAGATTCTCACACAAAGCTGAAATTTCTAGAAGAGATAAGAAACTGCCAAATTGTCTTTCCTGATAGCCGAAAGCCTTTTTCAGGACTGTGTTTGCCATAAAAAAGCTGTTTTTTCGAGACGAAGCAAAAAGGTCTTTCGAAGCTCTTCTATATGCAGACCATATGTTTCCTGATAAATTATGAAACAGACAGTGAAACCACAATTACAATGCAATTATGCAGATTGATTGCAGAAGTGGCGCCCAATCGTTTTAACTAATATTTGATCAAAAAATGTCTCATGTTTCTGATGCTACATGTACTTTGGTATTAAAAATGGCCTGTAAACAAATTCATCTGTATGAAGGTCTTTGGTTTTTTAAGGGACATCTTTGTCTTCTGGAAAAATGCCTTACATCAGTAGGAGAACCTCTAAAAACCTTTCATAAATAGAAAGTCCTTCAATTTCGGAGATAAAAACCTTTTTAGGATATAGACCAGCATTAATTTTTTTTGTCAATTGTTTTGCACGATTTCCCGACACTGTGCAATGCTGCAACTTTTACACCTTCACTCCAAAACAAACAGAGTTTGGGGTGTTGGTTATGTGATTTTTTTTATTGATTTCAGTTGAAACTTATTTTTCGTGTATTTGTTTTGATTTAAAAGTTTAGGCCAATATTTGGCCAGCCACTTAGTCAGACAAGACAGACAGTCAATAAGACATACCCGTGGGTGATTATTACCAAGAAAAGAAAATAAAAATTAATACTAAAAATAAATAAAAAAAACAGTTTTTTCTTCTTCTTCTTTTTTCTTTCTTTGGTTTAATTCATTTCATTGTTGGCAGTTTTGTTTGGACAAACGGAAAAACACAATAATATAAGAGTAGTTGGTCAGACCGTCATACCATCTGTCTGTCCGTCCGTCCGTCCGTCCTCTGGCCATGCACCGTCCTCACAGCTCGCACTTAAAAGAAATAGCCTCAATCAGCTTAATTTAGTTGTAATTTTTTTTGTAATGGTTTTTATTTTCATTTTTACAATGGCATGGTATTGTTATCCGGGTGGATGGTTGGTAGTTTGGCCAATTGTTTGGTGATTGGTCTACAATACGAAAGTATATTTTTTATTTGTTTGTTTTTTTTTTTTTTTTGTACTTTAATACAAATATCTCAAAGATAGTCAACCAAAAAAAAGTTTGTTTTTCAATTACACAAGAAACCCGCCGTCGTTGTCGCCGTTTGCCGTTTTATTCCGCTTGCGATTCCCGTTCACGAGGTAGTTGTTGATATGAATGCTCAGCGTTAACTGAAATCTCCAAATGTTTAAAACGACGAACAACGATCGCAACCAACCTTGTATGGCAGCATACAAACCAAGCGACCAAGCGGTTGGATGTAGATTTTAGATTTCTTTCAATAAAGATTGACAGCTAGATGCATTCGCTCACACCGCCAATTGGTTGGATGTTGAATAGATAAATCTCTCGTGGGGAGTGTGAGATTTCTCATTTGTCTCTCGGCATCACTTGAATCACAAATGTTGCTGGAGATATGGAAATTACAGGGTGAGAGGAAATACTGCAACCAACTTCAGACTGCTGTCATCTCTAAGCCACTCGTCCAGCAGCTGTTAAAATTATTCCACTGACAGCTCATTGTATTGTTTACAAGCGTACAAAAGCATTTTGGTGAGAATTTTCTCGGAAAAAAGTTATTCGTGATGGAATTCAAGCGGGATGGTGTGATTTCTTGATGTTTCGCTGGAAAACCACAAGTGGTTATCGTTAGAGCACTCCGGCATTTAAATGTGAATAAATCTTTTATGTCTCGTACCATCGCTCGTTACCACGATACTGGTAGCGTAACCCGACGTCAAGGAAGTGGACGGAAGAAAACAGCAACATCAGCAGAAATGGTTCGAAAAGTAAAAAAAGCGACTTGATCGAAACCCGCATCGCAGTGGCCAAAAAATGGCTCGTGAGCTTAACATATCGCAATATTCCATTCCGCAATTATTGACAAATGAGCTCGGGGTAAAGCCATTGAAATTTCAACAAGTAAAAAAACATTAAGTTCGGCCGGGCCGGGCATTGAAGACCCTCCACCATTTGGAACAAATTAGGAAATTTAAAAAAAAGAAAATAAAATCCATTAAAAATTCTGTTAAAATCTTAATTATACCGAATATTGTAAGGTGCCGATATATTGGGGGGCTATATGACATTGTGGACCTATATAGACAAATCTATGTCTGGGGATAAAATACTCATAAGGAACTCCTTGTGCGGAATTTTAGACAATTCCGTTGAAAATATGGCTAAAATCATCAAAATACCGAATATCGAGGACCCTTAATTTGGGGGCTATACGATATCATGGACCTATATAGATAACTCTCTTTCAGGGAGTAAAGTACCCACAAAAGAACTCCTTGTGTAGAATTTCAGACAATTCCATTGAAAAATGTGGCTAAAATCATCAAAATACCGAATATCGGGAGGTAGCGTTATATGGGGGCTATGCGACCTTGTGGACCTATATAGACAAATTTGTGTCTGGGGATAAAATACTCACAAAGAGTCCCTTGTGTAGCATTTCAGACAATTCCCTTAAAAAATGTGGCTAAAATCATCAAAATACCGAATATCGGGGGGAACCGTTATATGTGGGCTATACAATATCGGGGACCTATATAGACAATTCTCTCTCAGGGGGTAAAGTGCTCACAAAGAACTCCTTGTGTGGAGTTTCAGACAATTACATTGAAAAATGTGGCTAAAATCGTCAAAATACCGAATATCGGGGAGGGAATGGCGTTGTATGGGGGCTATACGATATCTTGGACTTATATAGACAATTCCCTTTCAGGGGGCAAAATAACCACAAGTAACTCCTTCTGTGGAATTTTAGACAATTCCATTGAAAAATGTGGCTAAAATCATCAAAATACCGAATATCGGGGGGTACCGTTATATGGGAGCTATACGATACCGTAGACTGATATAGTCCATCTTCGAACTTGGCCTGCCTGCAGACAAAAGACAGATCTGTGCAAAATTTTAGCTTCAGCAACAGACGGACAGACGGGCGGACTGAGGTAAATCGGGTTATAATTTTACGCTGATCAAGAAAATATATACTTTCTTGGGTCTAAAATTATTATTTCGATGAGTTACAAACGGAATGACGAACTTAATATACCCTCCATACTAAATCTATCTGGTTAAGGGTATAAAAAGTGCCAGAACTTCCACCGCAACAGAAAGAAAATAGACTCAAAAGAGCTAAAAAGTTGCTTCACTTGGCCGAAAGTGGTGAACTGCCGAATTTGGTTTCTCCGATGAGAAAACATTCGTTGTCCAGCAGTTTGTAAACAAACAAAATGATCGTGTTTACCTGCCAAAGAGGTCAGCTGAAAATGTGTACCTTCGGTTGGCCACCAGAACTCAAGCGCCGGCCATGGTAATGGTGTGGGCCGCCATAACAGCCATGGTCGCTCACCGCTCGTATTAACAGACCATGGCATCAGAATAAGTGCCAAATATTATCGCGAAAATATTCTGGAGGGTGTATTAAAGCCTTGGGCACGCAAACATGTTGGCCGCAGACCTTGGTCATTCCAACAGGACTCACCAGCACCATCGCATTCAGCACCCGCCACCCAAGAATGATTACAAAAGGAGGTTCCTCGCTTCATTTCTAGCGCACAATGGCCACCAAAATCTCCGGATACGAATCCTTGGACTATTGTGTCTGGAGTATTTTGGAGAGCAAGGTTGGCACTAAAAAATACCAAAGTGTCGACCACCTCAAGCAAGCGCTGCGCCGGGAATGGGCAAAAATACCACAGAGCAACATTGGGGTAGCATGTGATGGTTTCATTTGAAGGCCATAATTCGTGCCAACGGTGACCAATTCGAACAAATTATTCTAAAATTTGATCCAATTTCCGACATTTTTTGCTTTCACTTAATAAAATTAAAAAAAAAATTAAAAACCAGTAAAGAAAGTCTTAAAGTCGGGCGGGGCCGACTTTATGATACCCTACACCACTTTGCTAATTTAGTAGAGGTCCGCATAACAATTAAAAGTTTTTATGGGAGAATTCAATCATACACGCTATGATTTTAATTATAATTTAAAGTTCAAAGGACTAAATATGCCGAAGCATTTGTATCTTTTAAATTCGGACTTGTATTGCCCATTTGGTGCACAATTAATTTGAAATCGAATAAAAATATATATGGGAGCTATATCCAAATCGGAAACGATCTCCATAAAATTTGGCAAAGATATTTCTGAGCTGTATTTGATATATTTCCCTGAATATCGTTGTTACGGAGTGCATATTACGACTGTGCGTAACAAATATGACAAACCGGATGAACAGTATAAATGGGAGCTATTGCTATATCTGAACCGATCTTCACCAAATTTGACATACTAGCTTCTAGACTCAATTCGCTCGTAAGTGCCAAATTTCATCCCATTTGGGCAAATATTAGACGTTTGGTGCACAATCCAAGGTAAATCGGACGAAGTTATATATGGGAGCTATATCCAAATCTGAACCGATATCGATAAAATTTAGCAAATGTATTTCTGAGCTGTATTTGATATATTTCCCACAATATTGTTGTTACAGGGTGCATATTACGGCTGCGGAGGACAAAAATAACAAATCGGATGAACAATATATATGGGAGCTATAGCTACATCAGAGCCGATTTCGATCAAATTTGGCATACTTATTTTCAGGTCTAATCTGATCGTACGTGCAAAATTCAATACACAATAAAAGACAAATCGGACGAAAATATATATGGGAGCTATATCTAAATTTTGACCGATTATCTCCAATTTCAATAGGGTTCGTCCTTGGACCAAACAAATGATTTGTGCAACATTTCATTTGGATAGGGCAATAAATGCGAACTGTACTTTGTTTACAAAAATACATGGACAGACGGACGGACGGAAATGCATAAATCGACTCAGAATGTGATTCTATGCAGATCATTTAAAGGAACTATGGGTTTATCTAGTTTCCTTTTGCCTGTTACAACAAATGCACAAAGACATAATACCCTGACCACCTTGTGGTGTAGGGTATAATTATGGTGTTTGACTTTGTTGAGGTTTTTTATCTCACCCTGTATGAAAATTAAAATAATTTTCCTTACCTTCTAACATTCCAAGAAAAACAATTTCCTCTTTCTTTCAAATCAATTCAAAAGTGTTACACATAATGGAGATTTTATTAGTATTTTTTGTATATATAGGTATGTTGTATATAATAATATATAATATGATTGTGTGTGTTTTTCTTTTTCTGTAAATGGCTAAATACCATATTCCTCCTATATATATATATATATATATATATATATATATATATATATATATATATATATATATATATATATATATATATATATATATTGATGTTTCCATTTAAATCCTTTTTGTATATTTCTATGAAAAACTTTATTGCTAATGGCTAGTCCATACATTTTTGTTGTTGTTGTATACATTCTACGTGAGATAAATGCTAAACCGTTTCATTAATTTTGTAAAATTTCCTCATGTTGTTGTTGTTCTTATTTGATATTAAAACCCAAATTTCTATTAAATTTTCACAACATTTAAATTGGAGTTCATTTAAAAATTACCAAAAAGAAAATGAAAACAGAAATCTTTGGATAAAATCGTTCTTAAAAACTAGCTACTTAAACGCTATCAGAGAACTAGGTGCTAATGAAAATCCAGTGGTTTTTTTCTTCATACTTTAAAGTCGTATTTCGATTTATATAAATAAACGAACAAAGACGAATTTCTAATGATTATGTTTTGATTACTTCAAGTCTACTATTGTTTTGTTTTTTGTTTTTGTTACATGATATTATTATTAGTAATTTGTGTTATACCAAATATGACTTAAAATACAATTAAAGATATTTGATTCGTTGGAAAAATAAATGACAACATTCCACCCGGGGCAGATCTTTTGAAAAGTTCCCCAAAACCCAAAATGGAAGTTCAAAGTTTGTGTGTCTTCGTTGAACAGATCTTTGTAACAACATAAAAATAAAATTTGTAGTATAGTGTAGTTGTAATTTAGTGTATTGTTTTAAACAAAAATGACGACAAGTAAGCGTAAGGAACATAAGTTGTAATTTAAATTAGTTTCAACAGAAATTGAGTAGAGTTTGGCCGGGCCGTAAGTTATGCAGGCAACACCAAGGGGGATATTAAGTGGAATTAAGGATTATCCAAAAGATCTGGTAATAATCATAATGCCAAATACGTATTTGAATAGCGTAAAACGTCATTTGGATGACTTAGAAATATTACCCACATCATTTTGTTTACGTAAAAATATTTTCACGTCATTTGGATAACGTAGAAATTTTATCCAAGGATAACGAAAAAACATTATCCACGTCATTTAGACAACGAAAACTATTATCCACGTCATTTGGATATTGTATAAATATTATCCACGACATTTGGACAACGTTAAAATATTATCCACGACATTTGAATAACGTAGAAATATTATCCACGTTGTTTGGATAATCTAAAAATATTATCCACGTCATTTGGATAACGTAGAAACATTATCCACATCATTGGGACTGCGTAAAAATATTTTCGCGTCATTTGGATAACGTAGAAATATTATCCACGTCGCTTGGATAATTTAAAAATATTATCCACGTCATTTAGACAACTTAGACATATTATCCACGTTATTTGGATAACGTAAAAATATTAAACAAAACATTTGGATAACGTAGAATGATGTGAATATATTATCCACGTCCTTTGGATAAACTAGATATATTATCCACATCATTTGGATAACGTACAAATATTATCCACGTTACTTAAATAACGTAAAAACATTATCCACGTCATTTGGATAACGCAGAAACATTATCCACGTCATTTGGATAACGTAAAAATATTATCTACGTCATTGGGATAACGCAGAAACATTATCCACGTCATTTGGATAACGTTAAAATATTATCCACGTCAGTTGAATAACGTAAAAATATTATCCACGTCATTTGGATAACTTAAAAATATTATCCACGTTATTTGAATAACGTAAAAATATTATCCACGTCATTTGGATAACTTAAAAACATTATCCACGTCATTTGGATAACGTAAAAATATTATCTACGTCATTTGGATAACGTATACATATTATTCACGTCATTTGGATAACGTAGACATATTATCCTCGTCATTTAGATTACGTAGACATTTTGCCCACGTTATTTGGATAAGTTAAAAATATTATCCACGTCATTTGGATAACGTAAAAATATTATCCACGTCATTTGGATAGCTTAAAAACTTTATCCTCGTCATTTGGATAACGTAAAAATATTATCCACGTCATTTGGATAACGTAAAAATATTCTCCACGTCATTTGAATAACGAAAAAATATTATCCACGTCATTAGGATAACGTAAAAATATTATCCACGTCATTTGGATAATTCCAAAATAATATCCACGTCATGTAGACAACGTAAACATTTTATCCGCGACATTTAGGTAACGTAAAAACATTATCCACAACATTTGGATAACGTAGAAACATTATCCACATCATTTGGATAACGTAAAAATATTATCCACGTTATTTGGATAAAGTAAAAGTATTATCCACGTCATTTCGATCATGTTGAAAGATTATCCACGTCATTTCGATCATGTTGAAAGATTATCCACGTTATTTGGATAACGTAAACATTTTATCCACGTCATTTGGATAACTTAACAACATTTCCACGTCATTTGGATAACGTAAAAATTTTATCCACGTCATTTGAATAACGTAAAAATATTATCCACGTCATTTAGATAACGTAAAAATATTATCCACGTTATTTGAAAAACGTAAAAATATTATCCACGTCATTTGGATAACTTAAAAACATTATCCACGTCATTTGGATAACGTAAAAATTCTATCCGCGTCATTTTAATAACGTATAAATATTATCCACTTTTTTTGGTTAACGTAAAATTATTATTTACATCATTTGGATAACGTAAAAACATTATTCACGTCGTTTGGATAACGTATAGATATTATCCACATCATTTGGTTAACGTAAAATTATTATTTACATCATTTGGATAACGTAAAAACATTATCCACGTTATTTAAATAACGTAGACATATTATTCACGTCGTTTGGATAATGTGGATGTATTATCTACGTCACATATTCATATCTACCTAATTTGGACATCATATTTACATTATCCTTGTTGTTATCATAACGTAGAAATGCTTTCCAAGTCTTTTGGATAACATAGATACTTTATCCACGCTATTTGGATATCGAAGATACATTATTTACGTTATTTTGATAGTGTAGATAAATCATACATTTAATTGGATAACTTGATAACATTAATCGATTCATTTAGGTAACGTAGATAAATTATCTATGATATCTCAACAATTTTAGATTTATCTAGATATCCTAAATAATTTATCTAGATAAATCATTTACCTTATTTATCTAACTTAGATACATTATAAACATTGATTTGATATCCCTTGCCATGGTGGTAGCCTAGCCACAAAAAATAATCCAATATAAACATACTTTATGTTTGTGTGTGTTAGTGTACTTGTGTGTGTTTGTGTTACTTGTAGTTATAACCATTTCAATTTCCCATAGCTAATGTAGTTTTATATTCATATTCAGCTATACTATGTTGTATACAATGATTAATTTCACTGAAACTGGGTCGATCGCTGGGCTTACGATTCCAACAGCGACGCATTAGGGCATACACTGACATCGGTGTATTATCCGGACAGGCCAGAACATTACCATCCTTTATGTACTTAATCACCTCCGCATGGGTCATACCAAAATAGGGTTGCAATGCAAATGAAAAGATCTCCCACAGACACACGCCATAGGCCCACACATCCGATTCGATTGAAAATTTATTATACAAAATACATTCCAGCGGCATCCAACGTATGGGTATAACATCATTTTCATCACCCTTATAGTAGTCTTGCAAATAGATTTTATGCGACAGACCAAAGTCGGCGATTTTCACCACCATCTGTTCATTGATCAAACAATTCCGGGTGGCCAAGTCACGATGTACAAATTTACGTTCCGATAAATACAACATACCGGCAGCCACTTGAGCGGCGATTTGCAGAAGATGACCCTCATGCAAGGGGTCACGATGGTGAATCTGATGTGTGGCATAGGGGGAACAGGAGCGCAGATATTCACTTAGATCACCGGGTGACATGAATTCAAAAAGCAGACACATGGGTCGCCCCAAAGCACACACTCCCAATAGCTTGACAATATTGGGATGATCAAATTCCGCCAAGAGGCAGGCTTCTCGCTCGAAATCCATTTGCATTTGATCGCTGGCATCGTCTTTGAGCATTTTTACGGCAACCATGAGATCATCTTCGCCCGGCACTAAACCTGGGGCTTTGGCCTGCAAACACATAATTATTATTTTATAAATAAACATATTTTGGCATAATTACCTGAAACACCCTGCCAAATGCCCCCTGACCCAAGGAACGCACATACACGACCTCTGAACGTGGATATTCCAATTTCTCCAATTTGGTATTTAGCTTTGGCTTTGGTGGCGGTTCAACAATAATACTATTATGTAGGGCTCCCACACTTTTGATCGTACCGAATTTATTCAAATTCGAAACAGTTTCACGACTGGACGTTATATTTTCATTGGCAGTACGATTACAATCATTGGAGGGATTTTGATTGGCAGCATTTTGTTGTTGCATTTGTTGTGTTTGCAATTCCTTGTGTTTGAGTATTTTGTAGAGCAGCAACACGATGAGGTGTAGACAAACAATGGCCACAAAACCGAAGGCGGAAACAACAAAGATGACGTATGGAGTGAAAAATGTTTCCATTTTCATGGGTTCTAAATCTTTGCTGAGCGTGGGGTCGACATAGTCGGCTGAAAGAGGAGAAGGAGAGATGTTCATATTCTACTTCAAAGGATAATGAGGGTTTCTGAGAGCAAATAATAACGGCTTAACATTCTCCTAGATCCGTTTTAATATCAAATTTACGGATGATCTTTAAAAGTTGTTTTTGATAATAATTTTAATAACACAATCTAATACGCTTAATTTTCATAAAACCGAGTTTTATAAGTTATTAAAAAAAGTCATAAATATATCTAACGACAAGATTTGAATCCTCTAATAAGATGGTATTATATTTCCCCAAGGACACCCTTAAATAAACTATAAATGGACAACTTCTTCAGTCTCCATTGAAACTATCAAAAAATCAATTGAATAATCTAGTTCCGAAATCTTCGAAACATATTCCCATAAAATGTATGAAAATCAACATATATGCTGTTGAGATATATTATTTATGTTGTTGCATAGCGTAACTGCATTATCCACCTTGTTTAGATAACCATGATATAATATTCACATTGTTTGGATAGCGCAGATACATTATCCATGTTGTCTGCGTAGCGAAGATACACTACCCACGTTGTTTGGATAACATAGATACGTTTTCCACGCTTTTTGGATAACGTAAATACATTATCCACGTTAATTGGATAGCGTAGAAACATTATCCGCGTTGTTTTGATAGCGTAGACACATTACCCACGTTGTCTGCGTAGCGTAGATACACTATCCACGTTGTCTGCGTAGCGTAGATACACTACCCACGTTGTTTGGATAACGTAGATATGTTATCCACGCTATTTGGATAACGTAAATACATTATCCACGTTAATTGGATAGCGTAGGTACATTATCCGCGTTGTTTGGATAGCGTACATACATTATACACGTTGTTTAGATAACGTAAACACATTTTACATGTCGTTTGGATAACATAGATACATTATCAACGTTGTTTAAATAGCGTAGATACGTTATCCACTTAATTTGGATGTCCTAGATACATTATCCGTGATGTTTTGTAGCGTAGATACACTATCCACGTCGTTTGGATAACGTAGATACATTATCCACGTCGATTGGGTAACGTAGATACATTATCTACGTTGTTTAGATAATGTAGATACACTACCCACGTTGTTTGGATAATGTAGATACATTATCCACGTTGTTTAGATAGCGTAGATACATTATCCACGTCGTTTGGATAATGTAGATACATTATCTACGTTGTTTAGATAATGTAGATACACTATCCTCGTTGTTTACATAGCGTAGATACATTATCCACCTAATTTGGATGGCGTAGATACATTATCCGCGATGTTTGTGTAGCGTAGATACACTATCCACGTCGTTTGGATAACGTAGATACATTATCCACGCCGATTGGGTAACGTAGATACATTATCCACGTTGTTTGGATAACGTAGATGCACTATCCACGTTGTTTGGATAATGTAGATATATTATCCACATTATTTGGATATCCACCTTATTCGAATAACGTTGATTCATTATCCTCGTTGTTTGGATGGTGTAGATACATTAATTATATCGTTTGGATAGCATAGATATATCCATATACATACTTTGTGTTCCCGCAATGAAAACTTTGTCCTGGCATATTTAATTTTTTTCCCACATCTCACTTCCCAAAATACTTACGACACAAAGGTATGTCACAATGTTGCCAACGCACAGATTCATCAATGGTATAACACCAGGGATAAGGTTCCTCTCCGCCAGCATTTCGGCAATAATTCTCCCCGTCCTGAATTTGAGGAAACACCAAAGGCGGTTGGATATGTTTGTGCGGATGTTGGGTGTCCCAACGTTGGCAGGGTATACCGGACTTGGTGACATTCATTGTACCCAAATAGTAACGGCCATTGCCATTACGACAATCATCTGAAATTAGAATCAGTTATCTCCACCGACTTCAAGAGACAATTACTTACATGTAGCCTGTTGTTCATCGATTTCGGTAAGACCAACATAGGTGCAGGTGGGTTTTTTGGCAGTGCTATTATATTTTGGCAATACGGAACAGTTGGGCAGGCGAAAATGTCCCCTGGTTTTGATGAAGATATTACGTTCCTTTTTCTCCTCGATGAGGACCCAATCATTGTAGCAGTATTGCAAATGTGTGGCCATACAGTCCTCATAACACAAGGGCAATTTAATTGTTTTCTCGTTTTCATATAGGCAACGGGGAAAGGCATAGGCACACAACAATTTCTGTAACGAATGCGAGAAGAAGAACAAGAAATACACTTTAAATATACCACAAAATGTGGGAGGATTATTTGGCACTTACCTCAGCAGCTGTGCGACAGACACCAGTTAAATCAATGATAAGTTCCTCCCACAAAGCGGTGGCTACTTGTTCATTTTTCCAGCCACCCGAAGGGTCCTCTAGACTATACCACACCTGGGTGTTGATGAAGTTTTTACATATCTTACCATTGTAAGGAGCACAGTAGCCTTTTTCCTCATCGTGTCTTGCCTCTCTTTGTTGTCTAATTGGACGGTTGCTGTTGTGATTGTGTTGATGGACGGCTACGGTGTTGGACACCTTTTGCTCTGCATGATATGGTATGGCCGTGGATAGCTGCAAAATTCCCCCTAGGATGGCAAACGTTAGGAAAACGAATTTCGAAGAAAGCAGATTCCGTTGAAACCACAAATTTCCCTGAAATCTTGTCTGACGGCAACAAAACCGCTGCTGCTGCTGTCTTGTACCCCCAACTCTCATTTTGTTTTGATTCTCGAATTTTCACACAAACAACAAACCGCTGCTTCTCCACTACAAGTTGTATTCACTTGCAAATTTCTCAAAGTTTTTATCACTTTTGCGAATAGATTTTAAACAATTCCATCGTCGATTTAATGAAAATCATTTTTCCCCGAGAAATTTAATTTTTTAATTTTATTTCTACGTCGTTTTTTGGGACTTTTTCTAGCAAAACTTCAATGACGACGCCTTTGGGACAATTGCCATTATTTGTGAAAATTGTAGGAGCGGAGTATAACAGCACAACATACAGAAGAACATTTACACACGCACCGCACCGAATGGCGAAAGTAAGAGTCAAACAGCCAACTAACCAACCCACCAGTCAGTCACTCAGTTAATGCTGAGTGAAAGGATATAGGGGTGGATTTTTGTTTTGCCATGAAAATAAAAACACAGGACAGGGTTGTTTTCATTTCCAAAACAAAACAGAATCTTTCCGCCAATGTGTACGGCGAATGATTTGCCACCATCGTTTGTTGTCATTATTGGTGAAGTTACTACTCGCCTCGGTCGATTAAAAAGTAATACCACAGATTAGTGTTTTTTTTTTTTGTTGTTATGGATTTCGTTTTATTGAATTCAAATTTAAATTTTTTTACATACACAACTTGGATTTGCTTGGCTAGTTTAATCTATAATTTCGTTAAGCTTAGAGCTAGTTTATTGATCAGTAATTTGTTCCAAGCCCTGGAAAATAGAAAAAAAAAACAAATGAGAAAGAGAAGATATTAGTAGAGGATATGGACAAGGAATTATGATGAGAATAATTATGTCCTCTAATATTTAAATACACAATTCGATATTGATCGATAAAGACAAAGAATCTCTTGTCTGTATTTACTATATATAGATAAAATTCTTATGTATCAGACTAGGTATATTTGGAAAATGCATCCAAGTCTGGGAATATATGTTCAGTATACGCTTTAAAGAAGTCAAATAGCAGCCGTTCAACGATACCTATAGGGACAATTTTTGTAAGAGCTGATTAATATGAAATGACGGCAATGGAGCATCGTATAATTTTGGCAAATTTTGATTCTGCATTAAATGAAGGTTATATTTTTGGAAAGTCACAAAAAATCCATAAAGGAGATGAAGCATCTGCCTATTTGCACTCGGAGAAGTTATTCACGTCTTGGGGATTTCAAGCATCGAACATAATGAAGTGTATTAAGGTATAACTGTATTCGAAAATGTATTATCGTAGAATCAGTGTCTAGAATTTGGTCTAGCTTATAATAGGTCTACTAAGAACTACATCGCCTCCACATTGTTTTTATTATAGAACTAGGTATTACGAGGATCAGCCTGTACTAGTAATTCCTTGCTTTACAAGTTTTTTTTTTTTTGATAACTATATAAAATAACTCTCTAAAAGTGACCCATAGATTTTCTATGGTGGTCATCTTTGAGGTCGGAGGGAAATGAAAAAAAAAATTCTGCTAAAATGGTGCTGCTGGATCCAAATTCAGAAATGAGATGACATTAATTTGAATGATTTCGATGGGATCGGTTAATTAGCACGTCAGCTATTCGGACCCTTATGCCTTTTTCGTGTGAGGGAAATGAAAAAAATTACTAGAAATCAATCTTCGGCTCCAACATGTTGTGTTCCGATTCTGCTAAATTGATGCTGTATTAGATTCCAAATTCAGAAATGGGATGACATTAATAGGATGTGATAATTCGAATGATTTCGATGGGATCTTTGAAAACAAGTAGCACGTCATGTAGATTATTAGCACGTCAGCAATTCGGACCCAGAATGAATTATGTGACTAACATCATGGTCTGGGATTTCACAGGTATAGTGTATATCCATATTTTCGGCATTCACGACTGCCACTTGATATATCCGATACCACAATTCGATACGTTGTTGTGTGATTATATGATGAAATATGGCGTTCCGATACCGCCCAAACATTACGTTTTGATCAAATGCTAACATAGATTCTGGACATTCGATCGAAATTGAAAGCAAAATAAATTCAAAATGGAATACTTGTTAAGATTATTCCGAAGTTTGCTTAAGACGCTGTATTACTGTCCGATGACTCCAACAGAAATCTAAAACCTTTGGGAGATATCATTAATGAAATACACTTATTTAAAGCTGACTAAATTAATTTGCAACTACAGTGCTGAAACTATTTCTAAAAGCTCGTTAATTTCGACTGGATCTTAGTGCCATTACAAATTATTCTAATCTTTTGAAACATTTTACATTTTGATGTATGCTATTTGACCCTCTTTTAAATCTGATTCTACCTGGGGTCTTCATGCACTATTTTGTCTTCCGATACGCCTTGAAAATGCCTTTACGCAGTAAAAAATGCTATTGTCTATCCGCAGTTCAGTTAAACTGCTTCTCCGTACCTAACAATTTTTAAGGGCTTTGGAAAACTGGCTGCCCAATTAGCATATCATATACCGGTCTTAGCATCATGAAGAATATTGTGTCTCACACATTATAAAAATCTTTAATTATAATGCAGATATGACCACAAGTTATTGTTATATATAAACGATGTTCGTCTTTGGTATTAGAACTGGAAGTCAATATTCCCTTACAAAATTCTTCCAGGTTCTTAATGATTTTCCACGCCTCCGATTTTCATCGCCCCCTGTATTGCTCGACGTTTTTTTCATATTTTCACAGTCTATTATTGATACGGCTCTACACAGTTAGGTCAACAGCAATCGTAGCTAGTGCAGTAGATGATAGTTCTTAAAAGTGCGTGTTACAACAACAAAACCAAAAAACACCGCACAATCAAAAATACTTACATTCATGTTGTAGGGATTGTCAGTCAGTCGTCTGTCGCGCAAATACATAACACGATCGAAACGATCATCCAAGTTGCGGCGGTAGGCCTGGAAAAGAAAAGGAAAAAAGTTAATTATTTGTGTCGCTTGTGAAGTACTTGTGTGTGATATTCAATTTTCCAGACTACCGGCCACCAGACATCCTCCAGTTATGTTGAGAAAATCCAAAACTTTTCATTATAATTTCCGATTATATAAGAATTGGTCTAAACAACAACTGGAAATTGCAGCCGAAACGAAGATATTGGGTCAGCGCCAACTTACATTGCCAAGGACGAGCTTTTGCAGGCCATACATGGCGTATGTAGGCACAGACAAGGCCACAGTGATGATGACAGCCGATGGTAAGACTTCGAACCACATATTTTATGGGATTTTTCTTATTTGCCTTTGGAAAGCCTGCTGCAAAAACCTCAAGAAATGTCAAACAGAAACTGGAGATGACAAGCAGTCGATAGTAATTATATCGGTAGATGCACACACAATCGATAGTGTCACTAAATACAAACATCGATAGCAGGGTTTATTCTTTTGAGGAGAAACAAAAACTGTTGCTGGCAACAGTTAACAATTTGGGAAGTATTTCCCTAAAAATTCCCCTATGAACCACACACAGAGGCCACAGCTTATATGAATGTTGCCTTGTTTTGACAATACAAAGTGTCAAGCAGACGAACAAACTTTAATCATCTTTGGCCTTATACGGACGATATATTTCAAATGGGGCTCTGACAATAATTGACTCTTTTACATTTTAAGCCAGCCGATGACTAAGCAAGAGTGGACTTAATGCCGGAAAAAATTAACATCTTATTAAAGTTAATATTGATAAATATATGGCAAAAGACATGGGGAACTGAGAAAACCATATTTGATATAGGTTATACTTCCCCTCAGAAATAGGTTATATTTCCCTGCACAGCAATGTACCGAACTAGCTTATTTGTCACTGTTTCAAGGGGATAAGCCTTCTTTGTTTTTATGAATAGTGTTATAAAAGAATCAAGAAAATAGTGATTTGTGAATGAGTGGGAGGCAAATAATTCAAAAATATAATTCTAACAAATGCCACATAGCCAACTGACGTCTTCATAGTGCACAGCTTTCATATGCCACATTGACAAACAACATATCAGTGCTGGCGAATAGGAAAACGAATCCTATTGACATTTTCATACCTCTCAGCTCTCATATATCTCCAGTGCAAAACAAAAACAACAATTCATTGAATGACAGTTGTTTTTGTGTGCTACCAAAAGAGTTTTAAGTTCTTTTGTCTTTTGTCCATAAAAAACAAACTAAATTTCAACTAAGAAAATTTTAATTTTCATTACAAAAACAACTAACAACAGGAAAATCGCAACGTGTTGCCTGCTTGAAGAAACGTTACCGTTCAACAACGCCCGAAGAAAAACAAATTCCAGCCTTTGCCTTAGAAGAAGAACTCCCCGCAAAAACAATGACTAAATTTAGCGCCGACAGTGGAGTCGTTGAAACTCCATTTCCAACTGCAGCCTTGGTGCCAAAGGCGGAGACAAGTGTTCTCAATTTCTTGCAAAAGTATCCGGAATACGATGGACGCGATGTAACCATTGCAATTTTCGACTCCGGTGTGGATCCCCGTGCAACCGGTCTCGAGGTTAGAATATTATACATTGATTTATCCTGCCATATCATCATGTGATAATATTTCTGTTGTGTTCTTTTCCAGACCCTGTGTGATGGTAAGACGGTAAAGGTCATTGAACGTTTCGATTGTACCGGTTGTGGTGATGTAAATGTCACCAAGAAAGTGACTCCAGATGACAAGGGTTTTATTACCGGTCTTTCAGGCAGACAACTGAAGGTGAGTGCGTGTAAGGTTTTTGTTGGTGGTGGTGATGTTGTTGCTGTGATTTTCGGCAATTGTCATCATCAGTGTGCGAAAGTGCATGCTGCTGCACTTGGAAAACAAAACAACAAAAACTTTGTGTTTACTTTGCAAGTTTTGGGTTAAGGTGACCAGATATGAGAAAATTATGGTTTGAATATGTGGCGCCAAGAATTGCAAGATTGGCATTGAATTTTAAATATTTCAAAGAGTTTATTGAAAATATACTTTGCTATTTTAGAATTTTCCTATCTAACGGTAATAGTAAACGGGATGGAAATATTCTAATAAGAAATTGCAGTAAGATGTCCCATGCAAACAACCGGCTCTTTATAATGTCCCATATGAAAATATCCAATAAGATTTCTTGGCGGTCCCAGCAACTTATGGCAAATCAGCATTTAGATAGAGACTAGTAGAAAATGTTGAATGCCTCAAATGAATTTTTAAATGAAGGATATATAGCAGGACCGGAAAATAATTGGTTGGGGGAAAGCATTCCATCTCCCGTGGAGATGTTGGCTTGTGTTTTTGATACACTGCCAGGACACAGAGAAGAAGTTTCGAAACCTAAGATAAACCCGATTATTTAATTTCCTGAATTTGAAATATATATTTTTCACCATTTTTTGTTATTATAAAAGTGTTTTCCCGATTGCGAACCGGCGACCCTTTTGATTTACGCAATGTGACAATACAACAGTTTCGTGCGGTCTAAGAATTAAGCCACCTTTTTAGCGGAACTTCAATATTTTTCATCTTTTATTTTGATCTAATATTTCTTTTTTTACATTTAATTATTTATTTATTTATTTTTTTTTTTTGATATGGTTCCTACCTAAATATGCGTGTCATCCAATTACAAAATAATATTCATTTCTTCTTTCTTCCTTTTTACAGCTAACCGCTGAAATGATTGCTAATAATTCATCACCTAATGGTGAATTTCGTTTGGGCTTAAAACGTTTCTACGATCTCTGCCCATCCAAGGTACGGGAAAATCTCACAAATGCCCGTAAACTTAAGGAATGGGATGGGCCACATAAAACTGCCATAGCTGAAATTTCTAGGAAAATCAATGAATTTGAAGCACAAAATCCAGGTGAGTACTCATTGACATCATGAATTCAATAAAATAAATACTCAAATAATTATCTCTTTTACACAGACACTTCCAAATTATCCTGGGATAAAAAACTGATCAAAGAAGATCTAGACAATACCCTGGAAATGCTCAATGCTTATGAGAAATATTATCCGGATATTAAAACTGCATTTGATTGTATTTTATATGAAACGAAAAATGGTTGGCAGGCATGCATTGATATCACCGAGAAGGTAGGAGAGATTTTGCAATATCACAACAATTTTATGACTTATAATTTGAATTGTCTTTTTGTATAGGGAGATTTGGAAAAAGCCTTGCACATTGGCGAATACACAAAGACCCATGAAGTCAAGAATGTCGATGATTATCTTTCGGTTTCCATTAATGTCCATGATGAGGGTGATGTTTTGGAAATTGTTGGAATGTGTTGTAAGTATGAGAAATTAGTTGGATGATAGAATATTATTTTGAAATTTTTAGAATTACACAAACATTATAACTGTCGAAAATCTTCTCTATTACAAACGACCTTGAATAGGATGATCTTTTTGAAAAAACTTGAGAAGATTTGTTATCTAAATTAGATTTTCTTAATAAGACATTTAGTGTTACTATCTAAGGAGAAAATAATTCAAATTATAGATACAAATATGGAAAGTATTCTATTCATAGATTATCCATCTGTTTTCTATCAATAGGATCCTTGCCAAAAGTCTTCTATGTATAGTCCTAGGAAACATATTAAAACTATGATGTGTGGAAGAGTTTTCGAAACTTTTTTTTTACCTTTACACTACAGCTATTGATAAATAACCCTTAACAAGTCTTGAAACTGAGAATATTTTATATCAACGGTTCACCTAAATTATACTTTATTTTAGAAGACATCAATTGAAAGTATTCCATGGATGGAATGTCTATTTAAGGTCTCTAATAACAGAATTTTTATCGAATATTTTTAACTTAACAAGTTTTTTTTAAATGGTAACTATTTTAAAGTTTCTTTTTTCTAGGAAAAACAGAGTAATAATCATGGATTTTTTAAAAGATCTTTGTATATTTTGATTTTTTTAAAGGGGAACCGCAGAGCTAATATGCAGACTTTTAAGTATAATTTTTTAACAGACAAACTCGGACATGGTATTGAATTTTTAAGAATATTTTGTTTAAATTTAAACAAGCAATGGCTTTTTAGAATAAATTTTCTGAAGGATTATCAGATTAATTTTTTCACATATAAACTCTCCTTTAGAATTCTCCTTAAATATGTCTATAGAAATTTTCTATCTATAGAGGTCCTGCTATTGAAGACTGGCAAGGATGCCAGCAAAGGCGAATCGTACAGGCCGATTTAACCAGAACAAGCCTTGTGATAGAACAGTGTTGGTAGCCCATAACCTATCATAGGCATTTGATACGGTCAATCATGCCACACTGTTTGAGGACGTGCAGAGAACTACCCTTCGCCCAAGTTCGAAACGTTGGATAATCAACTATATGTGTGGACACCAGTCGTACGTGGAATTCCGGGACAAAAACGACACATACCGTAGAGTGAAACAAGGAGATCCCCAAGGTGGGGTGATATCTCCGGAACTGTTTAACCACTAACTTTCCGGAACTCCTCGCCCTTCAGACGGCATATAGATCGTAACGTATGTGGATGATTGTACGATTATGGCGTCGGGCCTAGTGATCGATGATATATGTGAAATATTGAACCCCCGCGGGGCTTGCTGCATACTTCCACGCGAGGAATAAGAAAATATCCGCCACGAAATCAACGGCCACACTCTTTACCACATGGTCTGCGGAGATGAGAACTGAACAGCTGAATGTGATGGTCGACGGGAATTTAATACCGACCACGAACTACTCCAAGATTCTAGGGGTCACATTTGACAGCATGTTCAAGTCATCCGCGGAAGCCACAGCTACCTGCGACAATATAAAAAGTAGGAACAAGGTCTTTAAGGCGGCAGCACTTGGGGTGCGGACAAGGAAACCTTGTTGACCTCTTATAACACGATAGGTCGGTTTGTGATCAACTATTCGGCTCCAGCGTGTTCTGTAAATATTTGTGCTACATAGTGGGAGCACATCCAGATCTGCCAGAAAGCTGTGACATGACACCAGTGGACCATCTACATGAGGAGGCGGAAGTCCTGCTTTCGTTGCAGTACCTGCTTGGGTGCTACCGTGAGAGTCATTTCAACCATCATATGGTGAATACAACTCCCCAACCCATGCTTGTCAGGAAGAACGTACATTATTTAAAGAGGGATGTCCAACGCTATAAAAGAGAACCACTAGATCAAAAAGCCTATCAGACAGGTCTGAGTGGCATTCATACCGACGCAGTCGCATATGCTATCAGCAATTACAGGATGAATACCGTCAATTGCAAGCTGCATAACGTCAGCTGCCTAGTTGAGGATGGTGCAGTCGTCTCAGTTCGTATTGGGCACGAATTGGCGAATATGTGTGTGACGTCTGCCCGGCGTGTGGTAGATGCCCGCACAATACGCTTCATCTCTTTAATTGCACAGCCAAACCTACCCAACTTACTCCAAAAGATCTCTGGCTACAGCCCATTTTTAAAACTGGATCTTGAACCAGGTTATCAGGAAACAAACATCCACATTTACTACTGGTACAATAACAACAACGAAACGTGACAAAAAGATAATAGCTAAAAAAATACCTGAGGTTATACATCTTTCGGCAATCTGACTGATATACATTTTAACATTTTTAATTAATATTTTTAAACGGTAGAAATATTAGGAATTTTTAAGGAGGAATTTCTTCTAGGACCAGAAGAAATTTGTCGATATGAACTCTCCTTTTAATGTATTTTTTTTATCCAATATTAGTCTTTTAATTTTGAAAAACTATTGAATGACTTCTGAAGGTGCTTTTAAAGTCTTTTTTTTAAAGAATGTCTTTCACCTTTAATAGAAGTTCTGCCAGTAAAAAGTTTTACCTTTTTACCCATAGAAGACTTTAAAGGTTCTAACTATTTAGAAAAACAAAACTGAAGATCATTCAAAATATAAGTCTGAATTTAAATTATTTAAATGGGCTTCTCAAATGAAAATCTATCTGTAGAAGATCATATAAAAATATACTATCTATTAAAGGCCTTTATCCACAGAAGACCATTAATAAAGCCCTACCCATTTAGAACAACAATGCTGAAGATAATTAAAGGTTATGTGTGAAATATATTTAAATGTACATTTTCAAATTACACTTTTCTCTGTGGAAGGTCAATAGAAGTTCCTTAGTTATACAATGTCTTAACAACGCCTAACATCGATTGAAGGCCTTTAAATAATTTTCTTCCAGTAGAAGTTCGTTAGAATGCTCTTTATTGTTAGAAAGTCATTTATCCTTAAAAACCCCTTACATGTTATTATATTCATTTGCCTTTTAAGGTCTCCTGTTAAGAGAGAACCTTTAAAATAACTTTTTGATAGAAGACACATATATGTAAGCTGTTCTGTTTATAGATCTATAGGAGATATTTTGACCATAGAAAGTCTTCTAAATAGAGAAGACATATTGCAACTCTATCATAGAAAGGCTTTAACATTAAACAAATTTCATAAAAATATACTCACATCTTCTTTTTCCCTTACAGCTTCCCATGGCACTCATGTGGCTTCCATTGCCAGTGGCAATCATGCATCAAAAGATCTGGATGGTGTGGCTCCCAATGCCAAAATTGTTTCACTAACAATTGGTGATGGCCGTCTCGGCTCCATGGAGACTGGCACTGGTCTCGTACGAGCAATGATGAAAGTAATGGAACTATGTCGTACTGGACGTAAAGTCGATGTTATCAACATGAGTTATGGTGAACATTCCCATTGGTCTAATTGTGGGTAAGTTACATGTTCAAGCATTTTTTTCCGGCAAAAGAAATTCTTTTCTATTTTCAGTGAAAAAAAAGCTAACGAAAAAAAAAATCATGAAAATGTTATGAAATTTCCTTTGAATTCTTTCTTTTTTTCCGAATCGAACAAAAAAAAAAAAAAAAAAAAAAACAAACATGAAAACTTTCTACAACTGAATGTTGCCACTACTGCCACTGCTCTGCTCTGCTGCAAACTAATGAAATAAATCCTAGATATCCTGAAACAATTGATAAGAAACGACGTAGAAAAAGAAAACCTTACTTAAGGTAATTGTTTGTTTCTTGTTATTGACTGCATATTTTTGTCGATGTTTGGTCTTTTTTGTGCGATTTTGTGTGTGTTCTTGCAAAGATCCTGCAGCTACTTGTAACTCCAAAACAAAAAAACACACTAACGAACTTATACAACACGCACACACACACACAGAGCATCACAGAAATAGAAACCGGGCAGTAGTGGTGGCAACATTATTACAAACAGATACAAAACAATTTCGCAATAACCACAGAATACAAAGGAAATTTCAAAAGTATTTTTATCCAATGTTAAACACTTCCTTTGGGATGTTAGAAAAGTAGGAAACAAGTTTTATTGTTTTCATTTCTCATTTTCTCTGTTTTCCGTTCTTTTTTCCATTTCTTTTTTTTTTGTGATGTTGTTGCTGCTTAACAGTCGCATTGGTGAACTCATGAGCGAGGTGGTTAATAAGTATGGCGTGGTGTGGGTAGCCTCAGCCGGTAATCATGGTCCAGCCTTGTGCACTGTGGGCACACCACCTGACATTGCCCAGCCCTCCTGCATTGGTGTGGGCGCCTATGTTTCGCCACAAATGATGGAAGCTGAGTACGCCTTACGTGAAAAGTTACCGGCTAATGTTTATACCTGGACCTCCCGCGATCCCTGCATCGATGGTGGTCAAGGCGTTACGGTTTGTGCTCCCGGTGGAGCCATTACCTCGGTGCCACAATTCACAATGAGCAAATCGGTTCTCATGAACGGCACTTCCATGGCAGCGCCTCACGTGGCCGGAGCCATAGGTGGGTATCACAACTCAGGTTAAGTAGAGTAGAATAGAATTGTAACACTTGAGTAAACATCTTTCCTTTCATTTCATTTCATTTCATTCCATGCCATTTGATGTTTGCTTGTTTATTTGCTAACTTTGACTTCCACTCCCATTTCCATTCCCATTCCCACTCTTACTTTTACTTGATTTCATTCTTGTTTTTCTTGTTTTGTGCCTTTCTAGCTTTGCTCATCTCGGGTCTGAAGCAACGTAACATTGCATATTCACCCTTTAGCATAAAACGTGCCATTTGTGCTACTGCCACTAAATTGGGTTATGTTGATCCTTTTGCCCAGGGTAGTGGACTTTTGAATGTTGAAAAAGCTTTTGAGCATTTGATGGAACATGATAAGGCTCCGGAGAATATGTTAAGGTAGGTCGGTCTGTTTGTTTCTAAGAATGTACGTTCACATATAGATGTGCTGAAGTATGTGTGCCTAGGTATTTTATTTACCATTTCAGTATTTCCTTTAAATTGTGTACCTATTCCATTGTTGTTGTTGTTACACAAATATTGAGCAATTTAGTTAGCCAAGAACTGTTGATATTCTTACCCACCCAACCACTTCAGCATAGCGTCCAACAGCTTGTAATCCCTGTTTTTGTCATTTTCTTTTTGATTACATTTTTCAGATTTTCTGTGCGTTGTGGCCCCAACAATGCCAAGGGTATCCATATTCGAGAAGGTGTATTGAAGAAACCCTATGAATTCAATGTTAATATTGAGCCAATATTTTTCAATGATACCGAAGCTGGTAAGTTACATATTTTCTATTTGTTTTTGTTGTTAACCTTTCTTTATTTCATTCTTCTTCTCTTGTGATAAAGGGAGAAAATTTTCATATATCATTGGATTTATTTTGTTACTTTTGTTGTATTTATTGTGAACAAATATTTCGAAGGCTAAAGTTGAAAGGATACGATTGGAAGTGATGAGTGATGAGGGATTGTAGCCATCAAAAACACACATCGAGACGTGAAACCCATAAAATATCATATTTTTCCCCAAAATCCTTGTCGGGAATTAGCTTTGTGTCCTTGAATAGAGTGTATATCCAGGGAAGATTCATTTTGGAGCAAGAAAATAGGCATGTTGGGGTTGAGTGGAAAAAACAATAGCTACTTGTGGGCGTTTCTATACAAAATCTTGTGTATTATTATGCTTTTGTGGATCCATTCAGATAGCAATACTTCCTGGAAAATGTAATATTCTGCCTAAATATCAGTTTTGTTGCTTCATCTCTCTGCAAAAGATTTCAAAACGAAATAAGGAGAAGATGCCAGATTTGAAGAAATTTGCATTTATATATCGAAAGAATGTATTTTGTAGATAGAAGACCTAATGAAAGTTTTCTGTCTCTTCCAAAGAATTCCTTCTCGCGGTAAATGAAATAAGACCTTCTGTCTTTGGAAGACCAGAAACATTAAAGATTGACACACATAATAATAGAAGGAAGTCTTCTGCATTTAAAAGACAAAAATTCTTCTGCCTATATAAGATCTAAAATAGGTATACTGCCTGTAAATACCTGAAAATCATTGTCTTTAGAAGATCTAAAGAGTATTCTTCTTTAAGAAGACCTGAAAAAAGTCTTGCTCGTCCAACCGTCTGTCTGTGGTAATATCTCTTACTTTTGCCGATATCGACCCCGATGATTCAAAATTTTCTTTCAATCTCACTCTAAATCCAGTCCTCAAATAACACTCTAAATCCTGATTTTTGTTGTTTTAAAAGATCTAAGGGAATTGGCTATAAATCAGACTCAGGGATTCTTATAGAGTATATCAGTTATTCCAAAAAAAAAAAAAAAAAAAAAAAAATGAAAGAAGATAATTTACTGTTTTGGTAATAGAATTGGGTTGGGTGGGTACGCACAAAATATGAATTCGGTCCAAGTTTTGTTATGGTCTTCATATAACAGTACCACCCGAATTAAGATCTTTTAAAGATTTTGACCTTGTTTTCTTTTGGTTTATCTTTTAAGATATTGACCACTTTTTTCGAAACGAAATGAGCTATAATTTGAGAATCTGAATGAGAACTTCAAGTATGTACAAAAATTTCGATATCGGTCCATGTGTTAATATTAACCAAAAATTAAGGGCTGAGATAAAAAACTGCAACAAAGTCTAACGCCTTGCTTTCCAAATACTCCAGACACAATAGTCCAACGGATTGGTATCCGGAGATTTTGGCGGCCATTGTGCGCGGGAAATGAAGCGAGTAACATAATTTTGTAACCATTCTTAGGTGGTCCGTGCTGAGTGCGATGGTGCTGGTGAGTTCTGTTGGAATGTCCAAGGTCTGTGACCAAAAAGTTTGCGCGCCCAAGGCTTTAATGACGGCCTATACCATCACCATGGACGGCGCTTGAGTTCTGGTGGCCAAACGAAGGTGCACATTTTTAGCTGACCTCTTAGACAAGAAACACGATAATTTTGTTTGTTTACAACTGCTGGATATCGAATGTTTTCTCATCGGAGAAAACCAAATTCGGCAGTTCAACACATTCGGCCAAGCGAATCAACTCTTTAGCTCTATTGAGTCTATTTTCTTTCCGTTGCGGTTTGGAATTTTAATGGCTCATTTTTCAATATTTGCCGAATGGAATATTGCGATATATTTAGCTCACGAGCCATTTTTCGGCCACTGCGACGCGGGTTTCGATCAAGTCGCTTCTTTACTTTTCGAACCATTTCTGCTGATGTTGCTGTTTTCTCCCGTCCACTTCCGTGACATCGGTCTACGCTACCAGTATCACCGTTACGAGCGATACATGGTTCGAGACACAAAAGATTTATTCACATTTAAATCCTGGAGTGCTCTAACGGTTGTGCTCTTGTGGGTTTCCAGCCAAGTATAAAGAAATCACAATAGCTTATCTAGTCAATAGCTTATCGAGATCTCTTCGATAGATAATCAATATCACGTTGATAGTCCAATGGCAGCTCGTCGATGCTCGTCTATAGTTCATTGTAGATCGTTAATGGCCCATCGATATTTCGTTGATAACATATCAATATCCTGTCGATATTTTATCGGTCAGTCAACGACAGCCCGATAATTCCTCGATGTATCTCGCCGATAGCGTCTCACTAGTTCATTCATCGTTGATCACTTGTCTATTGTCCATCGATAATCTGTCGATTGGTCATGGGAATAGATGCATTCTGACCTATTTTCAATTTATTTGGGGTGTATCAAATGATCTGCCCGTCCGAAATTATCCTCCCTTTTATACCCTCCACCATTAAGTTTGTCATTCCGTTTGTAACACCACGAAATATACATTTTAGACCCCACAAAGTACATATATTCGTGATCAGCATAAAATTCGATGCGCGATGTCCGTGCGCCTGTCCGTCTATCCGTATGTTCGTCTATGGAAATCACTATAGCTTCCGAACGAAATGAAGTAGATTGATAAAATTTTACTCAAATGTATATAATGTCTGCAGGACTTTTGTTATACAAAATGGTCCATGTAGGTCCACGTTTTGGTATAGTCCCCCCATAACGGAACCTACCGATATTCGATATTTTAATGATTTTAGCGACATTATTCACCAGAATTGTTTCAAATTTGGTACTTGAAGTTCGAAATGGATACTACAGGCTATGAAAGGAGATTGTCTGTGCAGGTCCATGTCTTCGTATAGCCCCCACATAAAGATACCTCCCGATATTCGGTATTTTGATGATTTAAGCGATATTATTCACCGGAATTGTTTCAAATTTGTTATTTGAAGTTCGAAATGGATACTACAGTCTATGACAGGAGATTGTCGGTGCAGGTCCACGTCTTCGTATAGCCCCCATATAACGGTATCTCACGATATTTGGTATTTTGATGATTTTAGCGACATTATTCAACGGAATCGTTTCAAATTTGGTATTTGAAGTTCGAAATGAATACTACAGCCTATGACAGGAGATTGTCGGTGCAGGTCCACGTCGTCGTATAGCCCTCATATAACGGTACCTACCGATATTCGGTATTTTAATGATTTTAGCTACATTATTCACCGGAATTGTTTCAAATTTGGTATTTGAAGTTCGTAATGGATGTTACAGCCTATGACAGGAGATTGTCGGTGCAGGTCCACGTCTTCGTATAGCCCCCATATAACGATACCTCCCGATATTTGGTGTTTTAATGATTTTAGCGACATTATTCAACGGAATCGTTTCAAATTTGGTATTTGAAGTTCGAAATGGATACTTCAGCCTAAGACAGAAAATTGTCTGTGCAGGTCCACGTCGTCGTATAACCTTCATATAACGGTACCACCCGATATTCGGTATTTTAATGATTTTAGCTACATTATTCACCTATTTTTTTAAGTTCCGCATTTGCATATTATAATGACTCATGACAAAAGTTACCTATGCAGGCCCAGATAGTCGTATAGACCCTAATATAACAGGTACATTCGGTATTTTAAAGATTTCTACAGCATTTTTAACGGATTTTATTTTTTTGAAAATTTGCCAAATTTGTACCAAACCCCCAAAATTCGGCCCCGCCGAACTTACAGCTTTTTTACAGGTTCATTGATAGCATGTCAAAAGTTCGTTGAGTTCGCTGGTCGATTGGTCGTCGATAGTTTTTGGATTAGTCGAAGATAGTTTATCGATTAATTTAGATATTTTGTAGATTGCTCGTTGATAAATTGTCTATTGCTCATCGGAACGAATGTATTCTGACATATTTTCAATTTTTTTTATTCCCTTATTGTGGAGGCTATCAAACGATCTACCCGGCCGAAATTATCTTCCCTTTTACTTGTTTGGAAATATTAATGGTTTCGAAAACAATTATCTTGTCCTTAAAATGCATTTAAAAATTTAATGCCTCTATGAATTATCCAGTCCCAGTCTTCTCCCTTATGCCTTGGACGAATTAACAACTTCAAGTTCTTTCCATAAAATATTTAAATATTTTTTAGCCAATAAATTGACTTAAAAGTTTCTAAGCATGTTTGCTATATGGCTTAACAGTAGGCCACAAGAAGCCACATTTTATTTGCTATCCTTCCCTTTTCTCTCTCGCCTAAATAAGGCAGTTTAAATGAAAGTCAAAACTTTGTGTATAAAATTCAGATTTTCTTTTTGTTATTGTTGCTGTTGCTGCATTTGTGTTTATGTTTATCTTTAATTGTCTATGGCTTATTTATTTTAGTAACAATTTTAAATATAATTAATTTTTATTTATTTTTTTTTCTTTATACCTAATTCTCAATTTGTTGGCCTTCACACAGATGCACACACACACACACACACAAACAAGAAAATGGCAAAAAGTTGTTCGTAAGTCTTTACAATTTTGTTTGAACAAAAATAATAATACTTAAGCTCATTTAGAGAAATAATACACAGACGAATTCACTTCTGTATGGGTGAGTGAGTGAGTCGGTGTGTGTGTGTGTGTGTGCGTCTGGTGCGTTTGTGTTGAACTTCCAAGGTGCTCTTTGATTTTATTAAGTCAAAAATCTCCATTGCTGGTGTACAGAGCAATGTGAAAGCAGACAAAGAGGATGGGAGGGATGAGGAGGATACTTGAAATAACTTTAGGATACTTCAATTAAAATAATGAAAAATTGCGTTCTTTTTTTCTTTGCAAAAATAAAATACTTCAATAAACACAAGTTGAATAGATGGATGGGATGGTAAGAGGTAGCCGGAGGAGAACGGAAAGACAGATGTGAACTGTTTGAAATTGTTGCTGGATGAAATCATCTTTGGGTTTGTTTC